CATAGAATTGTGTTTGTTGAAGTCTTGAAAAATGAAATACTGCATTTTTAAGAACAAAACCCGTTATATTTTGAAAGACGGTTATTTATCAACCTTAACAATTGAGAGGGAACAAATTTATTATAAGAAAACTTTGATTACACTGGGTTCGAATTATTATTTTTTATTATTGAATTTCTAAATTTTACTATTCGTGTTATTCTGCGTCAATATAAGTGCACTAATTTTAATTTTTATACATTTTATTTAAATTAGTAAATAAATTAAATTTTATATAATTTAATATAATCTAAATATATACCCATTTTCTAAAACAAGAGCATCATATCAACTCTATTAAAGACAAACCGTATTGATGACCAAGACAATAGAACCATCATTGTCGACAAAGGCAGAGCTATAAACCGTCTTAAGGGTGAACACTTTAACTAGGATGGGTCTAGTATAAAGAGATGAATGACTTTAAATTTTTACAAAGAAAACCTTATATTTTATTTGTGTTTGTAAAATAGTGTAGATGACAAATTTAAACTCTATTAAAATTTAAACTACCCACAAAAAAATCTTATAAAAGCCTAGTGTCAAAAAAAATGTTAATGCAAATAAAAAAAATAATTACCAAACAATATTATTATTTACCAAATTGTTATATTGAAGTCGACTGTCAATTACACTCGATTTACACATATATAAAGATATATAAGATAATACACCATATATCATAAATAAAAGTCCGTAAAGTCAAAAAGGATCAAAAGTTGATACATATCTTATATGAAGAAAACGCTATAAAAAAAAATCAATTACAACTCTTATCAAAATGAAAGACCGGTTATATGTATTTATAATTGATCTTTATTTTTTTTCTATTTTTATATTAACATTAAGAAATAAGAGTAATAATACCACTAGAATTCAACTGAAACAAGTCAATCATCAATCTTAAATAAAAAGAGATATGTTGTAGGTTATTATAAAAAAATTTATGTAGAAATTAGGAATTTAAAACCAAAAGAGCTCACAAATATGCAAATTAAGGTCAATTTAAGGGTGGACACAACAAATAATATTAAAATAAATAATTATATAACATATATAAAATTAAGATAAAAAATTTGAGGATGGGTCAGTGCCCCCTCCTGGCCCACACATAGATCTGCCCCTGATTATGGGGAGGGTAAAGAGCATCCAACGCAACAGAGTCTTTCATTCCCTTGTTTCGTCGTGGCACACCCCCTTCCTCCACAGACATGCACACACACACACACAAGATTAGATGAGGTATGTGAACAAATAAATTGTATTTGACGGGATTAATTTAAGTGTAAACTATGTTGATCAATGTTATTGGATCTTCTTGGCGAAGATAATAAATATATTATTGAATTTAACGATAAAATTCAGTATCAATCTAATAGTTATACTACGATCTAATTGGTACCATGATCTTGTGGCTTAACATTAAAAGGAGGTGGGGAATAAATATTCTGTAATTACGTCGTATCTTTAGATGCTCTGCCCATTTTTTTTGGGAAAATTAAGGCATCAAGCTTTGTCTTACCTTCACAATTTGATATTTCCCATTATTATTTGTTTACTTGTCATTAACAAATACAATGGTGATTAGTTTGAACCAAGTTTGATCAATTAACTACTCAATTTCATCATAAATTTGCTTACATATACTTATAATGCAGTTCAGATGATAATCAAATATGATATTAGTATAATTAAATCACAATTTAGGAAACATGCATCAATGTTTCGGGTTCGAATTCGACTAATCATTTAAAAAATAATAATTCATACCCTACTATTTAAATTTAAATTGGATTCATGGACAAAAGTATTCCATTGGGAATAGATGACTTTAATTGGCATATCGTTATTTATTAGAGGCCTAATACCGTCACCTATTTTAGTTTTTCATAAAACATGATATTTTGTTTTTATAGGACATGTTTGACCATTGTCCTATCCTTTCCTTTCCTTTCCTTCCTTCCATTCTCAAGGTGGCTTCTCGGACAATATAAATCATTGAACTGCTTTCATTTTCCAACAATCATAAGAATGTTTTATGAAAATTAAACACAAAATGACAAGCCTTCAATTTTTGCTTACTACTCTAATAATGTTGTGAAAGGGATAATTCAACCTCGTCTAACAAATTACATTTGATCCATAGAGTTTTCTCTATAATTCATATAAGCCCGCTTAATTTATTTATAGATTAATAATACTTTTGGTTCTTAAAGTATGTTTGTTTTGTCAATTTAGTCCTTATTGTATTAGTTTTATCAATTTGGTTCCTAAAGTTTCAATTTAAGTTATTTTAGTCCCTAATTAGATAATTCGTTAAATTTTTTTTACAGAAGTGACCATGTGTTATTCTTTTAGATGGTATTACGTGATTAACATGTGATTATTCTATTAAAAACTTAACGGTTAGTCTATGTAGAGACCATTTAAACACGAATTGAATATTTTAGAGATAAAATTAATATATAAAAAATTAAATTGACAAAACATGCATATTTTAAAGATTAAAATATTATTAATCCTTTATTTGTTTTTTCATCTCAATTTAGTGTTTCAGTTTCGTGATCATTATTGCAATACTGACCTTCCATGTCCATCCACCTCAGTTAGAATGAAAAAAAGTCTTATGAAAATCACATGACTCAATATGTTATTAATTGACAATTTTGCCCCTTTTCTAGAAACCAAAAACTTACGAGAACAAGTGCCTGCATTTCCCTATCAAATTAGGACAAGCCACAACCAGCAACACACAATGGAGAGTCATGGTTGGTTGAGTCTACTCAATTGTATTCATTAAGGAAACCCAAATTAAAATGAGTAATATCATGTAACACAATATTTATCACTAAATATTATTGGGATCCACTTATCTAATGAATTATAACTTTATCGCTCTACTACAAAATCTAGATAAACAATCTCGAGACATTTAAATAAGGATTAGCGAAGTTTCCGGAGGGCCAAACTATAACCTAAACACTTCTCCTTATCAAACACTTCAAAATTACAACTCAAGTCAAGTCTAGGATCGTGGATTGTAAAGTTCATTAGTTTGTGTTATTAACTCGGTCAAGAGTTCAGCTTATGACCTCATCTGGAAATTGGAGAGTGTGAATAAACCTAGAGAGCTTTAAAGAATTCAATGTGACATCAACGTTTGTTAGTTTTTGTATTGGACATTAATTGACTTTCTTATCACCATCACCAGGTGACACGTGGATAGAAAGCGATTGACACTTAGAGCGTACCAAACCCTGAGGAGACCAAATCGAACTCATATAGGTGGCCGCAAAACCCTTGGAGGAACAATTGGTATCGAGCCCAAGCAATAATAATTATCAGACATGTGGGTCCATTGATACAACAAATGGTAGGGAATGATTTGTTGTATCATTACATCGACATTAGGTAATATTTAATGATCGGTGCGTATATATTTAATACTCGATACAACTCATTAAATAATTGAAAAAAACCAATAAATACCCAAACGAACCTCATTAAATGCTCGGTACTCTGAGTAAGGTAATCATCGCGATGTTCGACCCTGAGAGACCCTCGGCCTCCCTTGGGTCTAGTAAATGCACAACTCGAGGGATACAATAGCCATTGAGTATTCAGCCATGAAATTGTACGAGTCGTGACATGTCACCATCTCTCAATATATAAATAGTCAAAAAAATTGAGTCTCAAGTATTCAATTGCAACCTAGTCTACATATAGTACTCTCAATCCTCTCAGTGTGAATACCGACTGAGTTAGGCATTGGAGGAGAGACACCTCTGGCAATCTTTCTAATCTTGTTTTTTTATTGTAGGAATCTCATCCTGTTCAACTAGGTGTCGCTATCTCAAATGTTGCGCGCAAGAATCAACTTGTGCAATTTGGCCTGGAAAATCTACCCAGAATCTGGTTTGACCAGAAATTTCCCAATCTGATCCGAGGCCCAGTTGTTGTGGGCCTAAAAAAAATTAGCCCGCTCAATCTAAGCCCTAGTTGTCATGGCACTGGCCACAATATTGCTGCCTCCAGCTGGTAGATCAGCCCATACGTCCGGCCCGTTAAGATATAATTTTATGGAAGCCAGCAGGGTGACCAGGTCCAACCAGCCCAAAAACGTACTGGCAAGCAACAGTAGTGGGCTATGAACTGGACTGTGACGCAGATACACGCCCGGCCCGGAAAATATTTTTCCTGGTCAACTTGCCCATGAACACACCCAGACATTTCGAGTTATATCTGAAAATCTGCATAGTATAAGACTGGCATGGTAGCCAGGAGATCAAGCATCAGACGATGCGGCTGACCTCAATGAAAAAAGATAGCCCTTCCACAAAAAAAACTTCTTAAACAATGAAGCCCTCAAGAAAATATTTAAAATAATCAATCAGTTAATATTCTAGAGAGTACCACCCGAACCGATGGACTAGTAGTAAACCATACCCGTCTAGAATCGAATCGTCCATGATTCTCGTATGATTATCAAGCATGGTTCGATTCACGGGAATAAAACCGTTTGCTGCTTGATTTTGGTGGTATTATCCTTATGGGTTAATAGCTATAGCTTAAACTAGAAATTCTGCGATGAAAAACTCTCATCGTCACATCCAAAGGGGTTACTCCCTACTAATCGTCTATCCCCTTTTTCTTTGACCCAAAAAAATTACATTCTAGAGAGCCTCCAAAAAATAAATCCAAAATCATTTGCAACTTGATCAAAGAAACTAAGTACACACATGAATGATACAAAAATCATTGTATTTTGCTATGCATAAAGGTAAGGGAGATAAATGAAAACCAATTCCCTGACCAATTTCAAGCCCTCTACTAAACACCACACAAGTGAAACCAAATCTGACAAAATTACAATCTGCTAAGCATAGATTAAAAAAGAAAAATCAAATGAAAATTGAGAAAACCTGAAAATATAGGCAAAACCAAAACCTGCAAAGCCATAGCTAGTATCTTTTTCCAAGAATTACGCCGATGATCACTGACACAATTGCCACAACTAGTATGAACTTATAGGTCATTGTCGGAGAATCCCCAGTGATTTGATTGTTAGTCACTGTGGAGGATGAGGTTTGAGCGGAAGTCACTTCCGCCTTTTTCTTACTCCTCCTTTTTGATGGAGTCGAAATGGTTGACCCAATGTCCCTAGATTTCACCTCGATGTCATCCCTTAGTTCAGTCAGATTGCTTCCCAGATCCTGAAGAATAAAAATTCAAGTTTAGACAGCTTTTCAGTTTAACATTCAGAGTCTCTAATTTAGTTTCAAATTCTTATGACATAACCACCAGATACTAACTTTAGTATGAAATAATAACATAGTTTAAATCTACTGTTATATCATCATTGCATAAAACTTGGTTGGATCATTGTAGATAAACTTGATAATCTTGTTTCCTCATGTGGAAAATGAGTGTAGGAAAGATCGAGATAGCTTCTGTGCATATGCATCATGTGGTAACCTTTCTGGTGAGAAATAATTTTATGCATCAAAACTCCACAGTTTTCTTTTTCCAATGGAACATTATAAGATGTAAAAAAAAATTCTAATATGAAAATATTATACCCACATGCTCACATAAAACAGGTTAAGAACCTGACCTTCTCTTTTGATTTAGCAGCCAGCTGCAATTTTTGTTCAAGCTCCTTAACTTGCTGTTCTAGAATTAGGGCCGCTTTGCTCTTAGCTTCAATTTCCGCTAAAGCAGCTTTTCTTTCTGAATCCTTCTTAGAATCTGCCTCTTTCTGTTTCATTAGAAATTTAAACCAAAAAGAGTTCAGTGTTCAATTTGTAGAACCAGAAGGTTGAAAGGTCATACTTGGCATAGCATGCAACCTTAGACCATCTAACTGTGCTAGTATTTATTATCATGGAAAACACTATACAAAACATTAGAAATGTACAAAACCAGTATATGATGGTGGTTAACCTGTTCGGCCATGTTGGTTTGGGCTTGATGTAGGTCTCTCTGAAGTTGCAACACTTGCTCGCTTAACATATCTCTATCACGGACTTGACTCACATGATCCTCCAATTTTGAAGTCAATTCTGTTTCTCTTGCAGTTGCAGCTACCCGAACACTTTCAACCTATATGCAATTCAGATTTTCAGTATAGATTAATAGTGTGAAATTTACTCCAGGCATTTTCCTTTCGTAATTTGCTCGACTCTATACAATCAAGTGCAGTACCTCTTCTTTCACTCGAGCCTTGGCTATTGATAATTGTTCTTCAAGCTCCTTCAAACGATTTTGCAACACTGACTTCTCACCGATCTCAGCCTTCAGAATTTCCAACTCAGCTTTCAAAGCATCTTCACTTGATTTCTGTTCTTTCAGTTGTCCTTCAAGTTGAAGTATTACAGTCTGAAGTTCCTTCGTGGCATTTTTATATGTTTCATTGAGCAGGTTATTCTCTTCCATAACCGTTGATATCTAGCATGAAGACATAATTGGATCATTATATTGTGGAAAATGATATATTGGTTCTAATGTATGATGTAAAATTTACAAAGTGCAAACCTGTGCTTGTAACATCTGCGCTTCAGAAGCAAGCTGCAGTGTCAAATCTTCTATTGTTTTCTTTGAAGAGTGAACCTGTTCTACTGCTTCATCCTTCTCGGCAAATGCTGCAGAAAGTTTTGTTTCAGCATCATTCAGTTTAGACTCATATGAGGCCAGTTGCTGAGTAATCTTCAAATTTGCTTCCGCTAACCCTTCACTCTCTTTTTCAAATTTACCAGACTTGCTCTGAAGTTCTTCAATGATGCTTTCCAGATCCTTCAGTTTGGAGAGAGTTTGTTCTAGCTCAATCTTCCGTGTTTCAGCTAGTGTTGAAACTTCATGAGCCTGCACGGAATACAATTTTGTCTGGCCTTCAAGATCATTTAGCTTCTCGTTTAATTCTTTGGCTTCAGAATCTTTATGGGATAATTTTTGAATGGCTTCTTTCAATTGTGTTTCTGCTTCTGAGACGCGAGTTTCAGCTGCCAAGTGCAGTTCCGAGGCTCTTGAGTGCTTTTCTGTTAATTCTGTAATAGTGTTCATGTGAGAAACAAGTTCATGAGCAGTGGCTTCCTTTTCTGCATGAGCCGAGTTTACTAAATCATGAAGCTCGTCAACCTTGCTTTTGAGCTGTATATTTGTCTCAACTAACAATTCTTTCTCTGACAAATACTGTGCTGCTTTATCTTCTGCTTCCAAGATCTTTCTGTTGAGTTCTTCATTGGTGCTTTCTGAAGAAGCCAGCTTCACTGCAATCTTATCCAATTCTTCCTTCACAGATGCAGATTTCTCGGATGCTTCAGCAATCTGATCTTCATAATTCTTCAACTGGTCTTCAAGGGTTTTCACTTTCTCATACAAAGATTTTGCCTCAGAATCTCTGCTGGTGAAATTTCCAATTGCTTCTTGGAGTTTCAGCTCAGAATCCCTAGTTAGGGTTTCATGTAAAGACTCAAGCTCTGCGTGTTTTGCAGTAGTTTGCTCTAATACTCCGCCTTGTCTCTCTAATTGTTCCTCGGCATACTTAAGCTTCTCCATAACTTCACTTTCTTTCAGTCCAGCAGCCTTAAGATCACTTTCGATGCCTTCAAGTCTCCGTTGAGTCAGATTTAATTCATTCCTCAAGACTTCTAGCAGATTTTCTGCTTCAGCAAGCTTCCCAGTTGAATTTACCAATGCATCTTCTATAGTTTTCTTCTCATCTGTTTTTACATTCAAGCATTCAGCCAATTCTTTTTCCTTTGCGTTAGCCATCTGCAGTGCGGCCTCGAGGCTTGATGCTTTTGATTGTAATGCTTTGAGTTCCTCTTCGAGTTCAGATACCTCATTGGAGTGTCTCTTAGATTCCACTTCTGCAGCCCCACATTTCTTCTCAAAGTAGCTTAACTGTTCTTCAAGCTCTTGGATTCTGTATTTCTCGCATCAAGCAAAAGCTCCAACTCAGTCACCTTT